ATTGTGTTACCCTGGTACTATACTCACCCAAATGCTGCGTAATGAAGAGCAGTGTCACCTTCAGTGTCCTGTAGATAGCAAGCAACTTGATCAATATTTTAACAGCAGAACACATACATCTATAATGGTGAAAGCTGTGAAAGAGAGGTTTCCTTGACATTTTCCCTCACTTGATGAAACTGTGAATGGTTTGAACCCTTGAGTAGAGTACTGGGATTTTTTCTAGTGTGGTCATCCATGTGAGGGTAGTTCTCTAGCAAGCGAGGCCATGCTCAATTTTTTTTGTACTTTTCAGTTTCGTCGGTTGACAATGATTCGTCAGAATTTGGTCAGGCTTACCTGTAGATTGACATTTGCACCCAACTGAAGAAGAAACTCCACAACTCTAGTAAAACCTTGGTGGCTGGCAATCTGCAGAGCAGTCTTGTCTGATCGTACAATGTTCACCTTAAAAGACATCGATTTTATAAGTTAAGACACCAAGGCAGTGTTGTTTGGAAGCTGGTCAATGCTAACCCAGGATTTAAAGTTAACCAAAGTTTTTAAATTGTCTTGTATAAAAATGTTTTTCACTTATTCTGTTTTGTGTAATTTGAGAATATTCAAGTTCAAAATTAAAAGACGAACATTAAATTATAAACAGAAAACCTCACTGAAACGTTGCAAAGCTGAAATCAAAATTCCCGCTAATCCTTGGTTAGCTTAATTGGGCTTAAACAACGCAACCCAGGTCAATAACATATGCATATACATGTACATGTATATATTACAAAAATAGTTAAACCAATATACCGTGAAACTGTCAACATATTTGTCACATTGATATGACTGGCGTACAATGATGCAACCAGTTCAAGGTTCGTACTCAGTTGAGCTGTTAAAATTCCATGACTTCCATGACCTTTTCCACGACCTTTCTGTCTGAGTTTTCCATGATCTACGATAAGCAGTTGTTCTCAAAGCATTGTCAAAACAATCTATTAGGGTTATTTATTAAGGCATTGTCCCACATTATGATGCATAGAATGCGTGCTAGTGTCTATTTTTCACTAGGATTAAAACCGGTTTTCTGACTCACCTGTTACTTTTTCAACCTTTAACCTTTTGCCATTTTATTCTCAGAAAGTATATTGCTTTTACATGGATTTCCATGACCCACACTTCAAGTTCATGACTTTCCAGGCCTGGAAAATGAAACTACAAAATTCCATGACTTTCCAGGTTTTCTATCACCCATACAAACCGTGCAGTAATTGAAACTTGTATCATACCTTATCTGGATGAATATGTAACAGTTCTTTAAGTTTGTCCAAGTTTCCTCGTCCTGCTTCGCTGATTATCATCGATCCAATGTCAGTTGAGCTGTTAATACGCAGGTGATCTAACAAAGAACTCAGCGATTGGTCTACAAGGAAAACAAGCATGAAAATCAGAACTTTGAACTCAATACTATCACTGAAACTCAATAGTAAAAGATAGAGATTGGCTGGGATAACAGTTGTATAAGCAAGTACAAACTGTGATTGGTCAACTTAGCAGGCTGTATTCTACTGTTAGTAGGCACACTCAGTAAAATTTAAGCTGTTTTTGTTGCCAAAATGTTTCATGATTTATTGCCAAGTAAGTAGAAGTCTGAAACTTTCTTAAAAAATTACTTTACATATTTGTGTACTATTAAAACATTGCTAATGACTTACAACCACTTCAATTTGACTTGTTTTACTTTCGATGTTCGATAAAAATTTGTAGCCTTATCGCATGAATAAAAAATAAACGTTCCTGACACACAGTAGCTTGACACAACAAATATCTTACCAACCTTGTCTTCTCGGTTCCTACTGTAAGTTAAGGATCCTCATTTTTCCCTCTTCGACTTATGGCCAGTGCGCTTCACACTTGGGCCATACATGTAAATCAAAGGGGAAAAAAAGTGGTCCATATCTTACAGTATGGACCTCAAACTAGGTTATTAAAAGGTATAAAGTTCTACCTATTTCCCTTTGTGACCGTTGAGATTGTCCTGGTTCTTCAGCTGTTGAATATGGATGCTGCTGCCGTTGTGCAGAAGATGATGTCGATGAAGGGGATGGCTGCAGGATCCCTTGGAGCTCTCCACGCTGTGATGTGGATTGTCGTGGCTGTTGATCTGTAGGCGTGGCTGCAGATGCTTCCTTTACAAGTACTGCTGGATTGAAAGTCCACGCATGGTCTGCTATGGCTACTCTAACATCGCCATCGGAGTAAATCTTTAAGACCCTACCAACTTTGTCTAAGGCCTATTGAGGCATAATTTAGATTGGCTATAATTTTATATCAATACAACATCACAGACCAACCAATTCATCTACACTGTAGGGAATAGTAGAAAGACCCTTATTGTGGCTGCGTGGAGTTACATGTAAGACCTGCTATGCTCCCCAAGGCTAAAGACAGACTTTAAATTTAACAGACTTCAAAACAGTAAAAATATATTTCTGTCAATAAGAAGTCCATCCAAAAAGTTCTAAACACAATACACTTTACTCTCACATTGCTTCTCTCCACCCAGGTGTATAAACGGGTACCAGTGAATTTAATGCTGGGGATAACCCTAAGATGGACTAGCATCTCATCCAGTAGGGAGTAGAAAGACTCCTAGTTGTATCATGCTACAGAAACCAGGATAAGCTCCAGCTGTATAGACCACTTGGCCTGGCCCAGACTTTATCTTTACCACAACACAACACCTACAATGTAGCAGGTCAGTTATCAGAATTTTCCAGCACAGATATCACAATACTTACCACAATCATTTCATTGGCCCACTCTCCATGCCCAGCCTGTAGTTTCTTGACTAATTCTTTATCTTTCATTACACGCACTTTGTCATTAACATGAAACTCGTCAACCTAAATGTAATGTTTAACGTAATACAGACATACATGAACACTGTAAGGTAGATCCAGGCTCAAATGCATGATAAATTACATGTATATTCTTTTCTGTTTGCTGTAATTTTAAGTACTTTTTGTACTATTATTTTTATTTTATTTTATTATTTTAGTACTTTTTGTACTATTAAGTTTCTTTTGATTCTCAACACCTCTCTACAGTACGTAACTACATATATTTTGGAAATTTTTATTTATTTATTTATTTATTTATTTATTTATTTATTT